GGTCTAAACCACTTTCTCCTCCTCCCAGAAAAATGTCTCTGAGGCTCAAATGTGGCTTAGTGATAGTTTGCCTAACATTCATGAAGTTCTGGTTTGATCCCCAGCACCACACACACACACAAAAATCTCTCTGAGGTATTCAAACAATTTCCTGATATTCCACACACTGTGATGCAAATGGGAGTTATATGCAAATGTTAGAATGTTAGGTAAAAGTAATTCAACATACAATTTCAACTGTCATAATTCTACAAAAACACTAACATATACAGGCTACCTATAATGCTCTATAAAAATTACATAATTAAGACAACTTACACTGGATGATGGTTGCTCAAGCTATAACCAAGCTACTTGGAGGCCTAAGATAGGGAAGAACCATGGTTCAGGCCAGCTTCGAGCAAAGTTAGCAAGACCCTATCTCAGCCAGTAGCTGGGCATGGTGTCAGTGCCTTCATCCCAAGACATGGACGAGCTTGAAATGAGAACTGCATTCCAGGCCAGCCAGGACAAAAATGCCCCAATCTTAACAGCCATAAAGCTGGGTGTGGTAGAATGTGCCTGTCATTCTATGAAGGTGGATGACATAAAATAGGGGGATCTGGGTTCCAGAAAAAGCTTTGGGCAAAAGTGAGTCCTATCTCCAAAATAACCAAAGCAAAAAGTGGTTGGAGGTGTAGCTCAATGACAGGAGCACCTGCCTAGCAAAGTGCAAGCCCTGAGTTCAAAACCCCAGTACTGCCAAAAAGAAAAAGAAAAAAAGACAACTTGATGAGGAATGGAAACATTCATTCTTCATGACATACAGAAATTACCTTGCTCTAGTCAACGTACTCAATAGTAAGCAAGAGAGGTCAAAAGCATTCCTGCCTCTGCTGCTGGCCTACCACACTAAGCATTGTGACACTCAGTGCCAGAGCAGGAAAGGTTCTTAGGTTAAGATGAACTGAGACTAAAAGAAGAATGTGCAAAGATTTTTTCCCTTTCAAACTCAACTGCCTTCTCACTGGAAAAAATGAGCGTAACTTCATTCTGATCTGTCTTTACATGAGTCTGATCCCCAAAGGAAACCATACAAAAACACAGACTAAATTTTTTCAGTGAATGTAAGCAACAATGCTTACCATTACATTATTTTTATTCTTATTTAACAGCTTTCTTAAAAACAAAAAAACAGTAACAAAAACCAACCATGAAATACTTACCATATGTCAAAAAGAAAAAACAGTGTCGAACGTTGAGGACACAGAAGAAATAAGAGAGAAGGTCCCCAGCCTCATGGGTCTCACAGTATAGGAGTGAAGACACACATTTAACAAAAAATTGATTGCTTACTTAATTGATTAATTAACCATAATGGCAATATGTTGCAAAAAAAAAAGAAATGCAGAATGCTGAGAGAACATACAGTAGGACCGGGGATGGCTTCTTAAGATCTTAAAAAGATCCACTAAGGAAGGCAGCCTCCTGACAAAGGTTCATAAAAAATGGTGGAATTGCCCAGCCACTGAGGGAAAAAAAGGAGATAATCACACTGAACATTAGTTCAGATCATGTACCAAGGAATTCTATGGAGGAGCTTACTTCAAGCTCCCTTCATTTCAACCCAGAGTACAGCAAATGTTTATTTTGGTTCTAAGAGAGCACTCTGAGTGCTTGGCGCTCACAAGAGGGCTTTACCTGGAACAAGAGAGCAGGCTTGCAGTTGCCTGATGACGTGGCTCAGCTCCCCCTGAAGATTGGCTCCACTGGAATTCTTGAGGGCCTCCAGCATGTTCTCAGCATCAACTGTCCCATCGCCCTCAGCATCGAACTGAGCAAAAGCCTACAAGATAACAGATGCAAAAAAAAAAAAAGATCTGTTTCAATTTTTTTAAACAATTCTCAAGATGAGTGTTTTTTTTATTTTATTGTTTTGGTTGAGAGAGGAGTGCATACATATTATTCAAAGAACAAATAAAGTCAGGATAGTAACTCACTGTGCTCTGTAGGACATATGTATATAAGCACACATATATACACAATTTTATCATTTCATTTCTCCTCCAAGAGAGTAATTCTTCCACCTACCCAAATAATTTCACAAGGAAACGTCTACTGCAAAAAATTTCAACTGGTTGCAAAATGTCAAATACAAAGCAAGAATTACAAACAATTGGCTGAAAGTAAGTAGCACCTCAGGTTTATCTGGGCTTTTTCTTTTAAACACTTTGGACATAAGAACTAACTTGGTTTACCTGCTTCACAACTGTTTTTTCCCCCTAACCTTTAACCACTGTCTACCATGGCCCTTGCTAATGCTGGCCATCTGGGAACCTAGTTTAGCATGGATTTATTTTGAATCCTCTCTGTCCCTAACCAGCTCTGTGACCCATGCGAGTCTCAACTTCTTGATCTGAAAGATGAAACAAGTATTATAAAACTCACAGGCTGCTGTCCAGATAAGGAATGTGTGATCAGAGTTCAATACAGTGAGAGCTATCAGCAGTGTGGTGTTTCCCACTCCTTTCCAGTCTACAACCTCTGTCTGTTGTCCACCCACCTTACCCCCATCCCTGTCACATTCTATAAGACTTCCTCATGAAGTAACTGCTCTCTTTCCCCACATCTCAATCCCTCCATCATCATGGCTTCTATCCTGCTGCTGATATACATACTCATAGACCTCACCATGAAATACTCTGGAAACTTTTGCCCTGCTTTCCAAGTAAGCTTCTCTCTTCCTTAAAACCGCTGCCCCTTTTCTTATCATTCTGCTCTGTAGAATATGGAAGCAGCCCATTGAGGTTTCATTATAGACACAATATGCTAATTTCCATCCCATCACAGATCCCTAACAGTGCAGTGTTTAACAAGAACAAATACAAATTCCTGCATTTGGTCCCCAAATCTATGGGCATAAATGGAGGATGAGAGACTGAGAGTTTAGAAGTGTCAAACGAATGATGTTAGCATTCTTTTTGCTGTATTCAACCTGACAAGATTATCTAAAAAGCTAATAGGATCAAAGACCACACTAATTAAAGTATTAATATTCAAAAGGAGAGAAGATATATTGTTTTACTATGATTAGACCCAATCAGGAAAGTGAGTGAAACTATATACCAAAAGGAAATGAAACAGAGATTAAAGAAGAGAGACCATGATGACGACTACAAACTGTCCTGTGAGGAAAAACTGAAGGACCATGGAATCTTAAATATCAACTTTTTTTTTCTTTTTTACAGTGCTAGGGGTTGAACCCAGGCCCTTGCATGTTCTAGGCAAATACTTCTACCACCAAACTGCACCCTTGGACCATGAATCTTTGTAGTGGAGAAGTGGTGACTGGGAGTTACAGAATTCTTCTCTTTAAATACAATGAGCCATTATGGGAAGGGAGAAGCAGAAGTTAAAATTAATGTCATTAAATAGAAGTTAGAGGGCAAAGCTCATCACAAAGGTGCACTTGTCTGTTGTCTATGAGATATGAACATGGATTAGGAGGCTCTGTGTCCACTCCATCCCTCACTGCTACAGAGCAACAGCTGGATAGCCAGCCATCAGTAGTGTTCAAAGAAGTCATTAAGAACAAATGCAGCGTTGGTGGTATAGTGGTGAGCATAGCTGCCTTCCAAGAACAAATGCACTCAAATCCTAGTAACACAATATTATAAACACATCTGTTATTTTTTCTTCAAGTATAAGGACAAAGAGAAGAGATGCTGCTGAGAAAAGGATAAACAGCACCAAATGGGCTGACCCAAGAGAGTGGAACCCTAAGCTAGAAATGGGCAATGCTAAGAAGTGAGATGCTTTATACACAGTCTAAAAAAGACTCAGGAGTTGGTAGCAATAGGTACTGCTGGAAGTGGAGCTGACTGGTAAAAATCCTACTTAAGAAGCCAGTTAGATGTGACTGAACAAACACTGATCCCAAGGAATCACTGAGTATTTTGTTTTTGTTTTTTTTTTTGAGGGGAAAGGGTGATAAAAGTAGTATGGATTTTTCTTATTCATTTATTCATATGTGCATACATTGTTTGGACCATTTCTCCCCCTTACCCCCAGCCTGCTCCCTCTCACCCCCACCCCACCTCGCTTCCAGGCAGAATCTGTTCTGCCCTTATCTCTAATTTTGTTGAAGAGAGAGTATAAACAATAATAAGGAAGACAAAGCGTTTTTGCTGGATGTTTTTTAAAGTGTCCTTACCTTTTAGAAATGCATAATGATATATTTATAGATAAAGATATGACAATTATATTTGCTTCAGTATAACTTGGATGGGAGAAAGTAGGTGGGGTTTAAGTCAAGTAAAACTGGCTTTGAGTTGATACTTGCTGAAATGGGCTACTAGGTAGGTGGGGGTCATTCTACTATTATCTCTGCCGTCTCATGTTTAAAGTTTCTGTTGGAGGGGAGGCCAGATTCCTCTCACCAGTCTTGACAGAAGCTTGAGGTTTGATCTCTAGAGAGTAGTATGGAGAGTGTGGATCAGTAAATATCAGTCACAATCAAAAGTGAGAGCAACACACTGAAAATAGGGGATGATGTTTACCTGCTAAATATTTAAAGATTCAATCTTTCCCAGGGCTCCCCAGAATGCCAGCAACTAGTCTCCTACCTTTCTAGGTAGAAGACTGGGAAACTAACAAGCACAAGGAAATAGGCCATAAATACTGACCCAGGATCTCCCAATGAAAGGGCCCAGACAATTCATCTTACAGTGAGGCTCGCCAATCTGCAACTCAGACACATATGCTTTTAGTCCCTCATTCTTCATGGGGGGACAGTCCAGAAGCATTGAGCATTTGAGAAAAGCCTTAATATAAAACACAGAAAAAGCAACTAGGTGAAAAGAAAGACTATGCAAGGAGAAAAAAACTTAAAAGAATGATTAATAAACTGGGCTCAGGTGGCTGAGGCAGGAGGATTCTGAGTTTCAGGCCAGTTTGGGCTACATAGTCAGACCTTATTTCCAAAAATAAAACAAACACACATACACACACACACACACACACACACACACACACACACACACACACAAAGGATGATTAATACCTTTAAGACTGTTTTAAAAAGATTTACTGGGGGTATATAATTGTTACCATAAAATCTACCCTGTTAAAATGTATAATTCAGTGGGTCTAAGACTATCCAGAATAGTGCAACCACTACCACCATCAGAGTCTGATTTAAAAAGATATTTCAATTACACTCATCCCAAAACCAAACAAAGACACATCCAAAATGGAGAACTATAGGCCAATCTCCTTAATGAACATCGATGCAAAAATCCTCAATAAAATAATGGCAAACCGAATCCAACAACATATCAGAAAGATCATACACCACGACCAAGTCAGCTTTATCCCAGGAATGCAGGGGTGGTTCAGCATACACAAATCTATAAATGTAATACAGCACATTAACAAAAGCAAAGACAAAAACCACTTGATTGTCTCAATAGATGCAGAAAAGACCTTTGATAAGATTCAACACCACTTCATGATAAAAGCTCTAAGGAAACTAGGAATAGAAGGAATGCACCTCAACATTATAAAGGCTATATGTGACAAACCAATAGCCAACATCATACTTAATGGAGAAAAACTGAAACTATTTTCCCTAAAATCAGGAACGAGGCAAGGGTGTCCACTCTCCCCACTACTATTCAACATAGTCCTGGAATTCCTAGCCAGAGCAAAAAGGCAAGAAGAAGAAATAAAAGGAATACAAATAGGTAAAGAAACTGTCAAAATATCCCTATTTGTAGATGACATGATCCTATACCTCAAAGACCCAAAAAACTCCACCCAAAAACTCCTAGATACCATAAACAGCTTCAGCAAGGTGTCAGGGTACAAAATCAACTTACAAAAGTCATTAGCTTTTCTATACACCAACAATGAACAAATTGAGAAAGAATATATAAAAACAATTCCATTTACAATAGCCTCAAAAAAAAATCAAATACCTAGGAGTAAACTTAACAAAGGATGTGAATGACCTCTACCAGGAGAACTACAAGCCTCTAAAGAAAGAGATAGAGGAAAGACTACAGAAAGTGGAAAGATCTCTCATGCTCATGGATCAGTAGAATCAACATAGAAAAAATGGCTACACTACCAAAAGCAATCTACATGTTCAACGCAATTCCCATCAAAATCCCAAAGACATTCATCACAGAGATTGAAAAATGTACCCTAAAGTTCATTTGGAAATACAAGAGACCACAAATAGCCAACACAATACTCAGTAAAAAGAGCAATGCTGGAGGTATCACAGTACCCAATTTCAAACTATATTACAGAGCCATAGCAATACAAACAGCATGATACTGGCACAAAAACAGATATGAAGACCAGTGGAACAGAATAGAGGAGCCGGATATGAATCCACACAGCTATGCCCACCTTATTTTTGACAAGGTGCCAAAAACATACGATGGAAAATACAGAGCCTCTTCAACAAATGTTGCTGTGAAAAGTGGTTATCTGCCTATAGAAAACTGAAACTAGATCCATATTTATCACCCTGTGCTAGTATCAACTCAAAATGGATCAAGGACCTTAATATCAGACCCAAAACTCTGAAGCTAGTACAGAAAAGAGCAGAGAATACTCCGGAAGCAATACGTATAGGCAAGGACTTCCTCACTAGAACCCCAGCAGCTCAGCAACTAAGAGAAAGGATAGACAAATGGGACTACATGAAATTAAAAAGCATCTGCACAACAAAAGAAATGGTCTTTAAATTGAAGAGACCACCTACAGAGTGGGAGAAAATATTTGCTAGCTATATATCAGACAAAGGACTGATAACCAGAATATACAGGGAGCTGA